ATGGAATACTATGCAGCCATAAAAAGGATGGAGACTTTATAGCTTTTATGTTTACCTGATGGAACTGAAACACATTCTTTTTAGTAAAGTAGCTCAAGAATGGAAAAGAAAAAGTATCCAATGTACTCAATACTATTACGAAACAAACATATGATCACCTACACGACATATGAATAATAAAACACAACTATAATCCAGAAAGGAGGAGAGAGGGAGGAGAATGTAGGGGAAGAGAGAGCAGGAGATGGGAGGGTATTTGGTGGGACCTCACCTATTGTGCATAATGCAATGGTACACTTCAAAACTATTGAGAGTATAGCATAAATGTCTTACCATAACAAATAAGTGAGATGATGGTTATGTTAATATGTCTGATTTAAGCATTCCACATTGTATATTAAATCAGTACATTGTACCCCATAATTGTACACAGTTATGATTTAATTAAAAAAAACTTAAAAAAAAAGAAAAAGAAAATAAATAGAATTTGAAACTAATGCCATCTGTTATTCTTCTCTTAAAAGAAGAGAATCCAGTATCATAAATGTCTCTACCTGTGTATTTAAGATACACATAATGCACTAGGATAAGTGAATTAGTCATACAATTTTATTTCAGTTACTTCAAAGGGCTTCTAATAGCCACAAAGCCTACATTTTGCACCATTTGAAAAGCTCTATGTATCTTTTTTTTAATACCTTGGAAACAATATTTTATTCTATTAACTTTGAAATATATTTTTAAATCTACAATTTTCCTTATAGGTATGAATGAAGTATTATAACATCAAATTTCAGCCATATTTTAAGTAAGGAATAAAACAGTCAACCCTGTTTTTAAGTGTAAACCCACTTTAGACATATTCTGAGAAGCTGGGACTTAGAACTAACCAAAGATTACAAATCAGATTGCTCATTGACCTACTAGAATGATAGAAGAGCTACATATTTAACTTAAAAAATTCAATCTGAGTCATGACTCTGAACAAGAAAATATTCCCCAAGGCATAACCAAATAATAACAAATTCATATATAAATGACTTAAAGCTGCTCACTGATTTACCACGTATTTATAGTGCATGTTAAAATAATGTATCAAATTACTGATCTCCCATTTCAAGTACATGAAAATAAATCCTGACACTTTAAAATCTTAAGCTATTGTCATCTAAGATTCACTAATTAAGTTTAGCCTGAGTTCTTCATAGTTATTTCAGCGGGCAATTATCAGTTTCGTGGAATTTGAGTTATGTGGTGCAAACTGAAGCCATCGTTTCTAATCAGGAAGTCATGAAATGTTATCACAGCTCAGCTTGGCATTCACCCACCCTCATTCCACTCCAGGTGCTTTTCACTGGGTGGATTTGGCTTGTAGACTGAATTGGCCACCCTGTGTCCCTAAGATAATCCCTGATTGGGAAGCCATATGGTGCAATGCTGGAAGCTATATTAAATTTTAAGTCATATTTTGGCCAGCTTTATCCTCATAACTGAATATCAGAATTGTATCCATGTAAATTTCCACTCACTATTGCTTATTGGTTTAATTAAGCCGAGTTTTTTTTTTTCTCCTTTCCCTTTAAAACACTTGTTAATATAAAAGTACTCTAGAATTTATATTAAAAGGCATTAGTTGAGAATAAGAAAAAAACCGAGGAGGGTGACACTATCGGGTCACCCTGCACTTACCTTTAAAGAAGCAGTCTTCATTGTGAACAATGGTAATCTTCTGCCTTTTCAGGCAAGCAGCTCGGTGCACCTCACAGTGGTTTTCGTAGAATTCTCCATCAGATCCACACACGGGTTTGTAGTGCCGTTTGCAAAGCTCCATGCAGGCACATTCTGCCTGCCCCGTCCCCCTGCTGATAACGCAGTGCCTCCCCAAACCACAGTATTTATTTTCACAAGATCCAAAAGGGTCATCCTGAATCAGAAACCCTGGAGATAAAAAAAAAAGAAAATCTTTTGGTTCTTATGTCCAAATAAGACACGCATTTCTAAGTATCAAGTGAAAAAAGTAGACAATTATAGTATAATGTTTTCAGTGGAGAAAATGCTTATGTCAGAACCCACAGATGAGCTTTATTAAAATATCTTGAACATTTCTTCTCTTTCCTTTCACTCCTGAGCCCTCTTCTCCATCCTCAGAGTAATATAGTACTTAAGAATGAGGTCTCTAAAGCTAAACTTCCCGCGTTCAAATCCTGGCTCTACTAGGAATTATGTACAGGGATGAATTCTTTCTCAGAACCAAGTTGTTCCGTCTGTAACAGGATCATCAGCCATCACGTACAGTTGTACAAAATGTTACATGTAATGATCCTCAGAAAGTATCTCTCTGCCACATAATAAATGTTAACATTTACAGTAACAGTATTCCATTCAATGTTAATTTTTACAGTAACAGAATTCTGGACAGGAGAAAGGAAATACTGTATATAAGAAAAAAAATGAGAGGAGGTTAGAGTGGAAAATAATTGCATCTTGAAAACTTCTTGGTAGCTTCTGATAGCTGACCCTTTCTTATTTTGATCTCTGACAGTTGAAATCACTGATGCATTTCATGATTAAACGAACGGGTCAAGAAGAAATTGATTTTCTTGTCACTTATTCAGTCTAACAATCTCCATTGGCATCAGAAAACTATAGATGGATCCAGCAGTCTTGTACCAAGGTTGAAATAAGCAAAATCTTATGATTTTTTGGACAGAAATAACTTTTCTCATTTGAAACCTCCAAAAAATCAAAACTGATAGCCAAGTGAACATAAATGCACGTATATATTCATATAGTATATGAAGAAACATATATACTTATATGCACATGTACACATACAAATACATGTGCACCCGCAGGAATGTACCTAGATATACACACAGACAGGTGTGTGTACATAATTAACATCAATGTCACCTATATATATGCAAAAAGGAAAGGAAAGTGCTGAGAAGTTTTAAGCTTAAATTGAAGTCATTTTCTTGGGTACTTAGTACATATTTCCAGCTTGTTTCTTTCAAACTATCTTTCTACAATATAGCATCATAATAAGAACATTGATTGTGACCCTGAGTTTAAATCACAACTCTACCAGTTGTAAGCTCAAGCAAAGTGAATGAACACCGAGATCATCTGTAACTCAGTTTCCTCATTTGTAAAATAGTAAGAATAATATTATAGTACATTCTCATAGTCTTGTCAAGATTAAAGGGATTGGGACAGGGTGCCGCCTATGGCTCAAAGGAATAGGGCACTGGCCCCATATGCTGGAGGTGGTGGGTTCAAACCCAGCTCTGGCCAGAAACTGCAAAAATAAATAAATATATAAAGGAATGGGGACATATGAAACTCCATTTCAGTGTTCATTATTATTTCTTCAAAAACTGATTTTCATAAGGACATAGACATACGCATGAAAATAGTTAAATAATACCTTCTGTTATTTTTAATGAAATTCATACATTAGTTTTATTTTTATATTTATTTATGTATTTCCAATTAGAACTTAAATGAGCAAAATTAAAATTACAGAAAAAAGATCAACTCTTAATAGCATAACTTTTTTTTTTTTTTTTTTGCAGTTTTTGTCCAGAGCTGGGTTTGAACTCACCATCTCCGATATATGGGGCCGGCACCCTACTCCCTTGAGCCACAGGTGCTGCCCCGATAGCATAATTTTTTTCCAAAAGCTAATTTATGCTCTGATAGTAGTAGAAATTACAACAAATCTACTAGAAAACAATTTTGAAACATTTGAAGTATTGGATACTATATTACACACGTAAAGAAAGCAACAAAAAATGAACAAAAATAATTACTGATTAGAGCTTTTCAATGTAGTATTATTTTAAATATTAATAACTAATTCAAGTGGTTTAATACATTTTGGAAAATTTATTTAATGCAATGGTTCCTGAACTTTGGCATATAGAAAAATAGCCTAGAGAAGTTTTTTAAAATAAAAATTCTTCCTCCACCTCTCCTCAGAGTTTCTGATTCAGTAGATCTACACTATAGTCCAAAGTTTATATTTCTAACAAGTTCCCAAGTGATAATGATAACTGCGGCTTCTAGCATCACTCTTTAGGGCCATGGACTTAATGAAATCCTAATTTATAATTAAAATAGATAAAATACTAGGAAAAGGACTAGGTAGATAATTATGAAATGCTTTTACATTGAAAAGATGATAAGTTAATTCTACAATCACAATCTTATAAAATATTATAACTTTTTGGAAGATGCTGGGAGAAGAAATGGACAAATGATACAATTACCTAAGTTGATATGATATTGGGCAAGTTCTACTTTTATATCATTGCTTTTTAATGTTCAGTATAGTAAATTAAATAAGCAAGAGTTCATCAGCTGGAGATGGTTCCTAATAACAAACTGCAGCTAAACTTAGTAGGTAGACAAACCCACTGGAGTTCCTAAATAACAAACTACAGTTAAACTTAGTAGGTAGACAAACCAAAACTCAATTTAGGAGTATATTTTTGTAACAAACAACTAGGTTTTGGTGAATCATAAACCGCTGACTTTCAGCCAATCACAAGCAGACACCAAATAAGGTAACCGTCACACCGGGCCCAAATAAGGTAGTCCCATAGCTGTCAACAACCTTGTTATTTCTTGGCTTTTGTGTTTGGCCTAGGAAGAGCTCTCTAAATCTCTTCTCTTGCTGCAGGTTCATGAATTGTTCTTTGCTCACATAAACTGTTTAATGTATCTAACACGGGAGCAGTGGCTCACATCTGTAATCCTGGCCCTCTGGGAAACCAAGACAGGAGGATTCCTTGAACTCAGAAATTCTAGACCAGCCTCAGCAAGACTGAGACCACAACTCTACTAAAAATAGAAAAATTAGCTCAGTGTTGTATCTGGCACCTGAAGTCAGTCCCAGGTTCTGGGGAAGCTGAGGAAGGAGGATCACCTGAACCCAGGAGTCTGAAGTTGCTGTGAGCTAGGTTGATGCCAGGACAGTCTAGCCAGGGCAACATCGGCCCTATATGCCTGAGGTGGGGGGTTCAAACCCAGCCCCAAGCAAAAACTGCAAAAAAAAAAAAAAAAAAATTTTAAAGTTATCTAGTTTTTCTTTTAACAAATGTGCAAAAAGAGAGTCCTAAATAATGTCAATTATAAGATACTCATTTCAAAGTGGAAAAATATTTCCCCATCCTTATACCGGTACTTATGCAAATAATTGACCTAATGTTAATCGAGTTCTAATGGGGCCACCATTATAACATAGGGATTTGATTAATGGGGTGATACTTTGGGTGATTTTACATGATACATTTTCTTACCATCAAATGATGAATTCAAAATAATGGGTTTTTATTATCAAAAAATGAGCTGAAGATTAGTAAGAGAGCCTGATTACTTTAAGTTTTGGTCAAAATTTTAAGTTGCTTTCCGAATCAGTATAATTTTTCTTCTTGGGGGGAAATATTAAACTGTAAAATGTGGTCAGATATAGTATATCTTGCTTGGCGACTATATTCCGCAGATTCTCTTTGATTAAATCCTCTTAAATTCTTCTTCCAAAGCCTCTATTCCTGTTCAGAGATTTATATTAGGATATTGGCCATTTTCTAGAAGTTAATGAACTACTTTACACTAGCTAGAAGCTGTGCGTTGCATGTAGCCGCTACAATTAAAGGAAAGGTAATTAATTCATATGGAATCCAAAAGAAAGCTCATATTATGTAAATGCATAGCTAGAACATACCCTTTCTGACAGTAATTATCCATGACTAATGCTGAACTTAAGTTTCAGCTGAGATTAAATCAATTTAATCTGATCAACATGTCAAAGATTTCTTCAAAGCACATTCAGAGAGAGCACACATTAAATGCATTGTAGTCAAGAATTTATACTCTGGTATCTTGTAGCTTGATAAAATATCTTTATCATTTGTTTCCAAAAAAGGGATATTTATTTAACAAATACATTATTTTTCACTTCTATTCCTGTAAAGAATTATAAAAATTTCTCAAACTTATTTAATATACAGATCAAATATTAAAAGATTAAAGACATCAAGTCATAAAACAAATCCATTTTTCTAAAGATAGAGTTTCCAGAATCTCCATCACAAATGCAATTCTCTTCAAGGAATATATCTATGTTTATATTGATATATGTATCTGCAACCTATCAAACAGGTACTTAACATAGAGTAGATTGAAATAAACTTTAGTAATGTGTAATTATTTTTATGTGCAAGGTGTCATATTCATTTCTACAGGGTACATAAAGGGATCAGTCAATGACACTTTTCTCAAGTGGCTTACAAAGGCCATTAGACAGGACTTGTCTATGCTTAAGTGAGTAGACAGGCTAAGAGGGAGGAGCACACTGAAGGGTACAAAGGGGACTGAGGTCAGCTAAGATCTCACAAACAATGTGCCACGTAGCTGTTGAACTTGTGTTTGAAGAATGGTTTAGGAGTTCAGATGGCTGATACGAGGACAGGCACAGCAGCGTGGAATAAAGGCAGACTCTGGATTTCAATCAATAGTAGTGGAGGGAGGAAACAGCCAGATTTTGATGAGCTAACTGCTTTTAATTTTTATTATGGGACATGAAAATAGCACTGTAGTTAGAGTGTCACGTTATTTGAGGTGCTCTCTCATAGAAATGTATTTGTTAAAGCACAAAATGTATTATTTTCACTTTTATTTGTTAAAGAGAATGGATTTGGGGTCATGGAAAAGAAGGATTCGGTCTTTATTCGTCTGCTAGATGATTGTCGGACCTCAGGCAGGCTGCAGTCTCCTAGGGGCTGATAGGACCTCAGGCTGCAGTCTCCTAGGGGCTGATATTGTAGTGGTGAAATGCGGGGTAACTAACAAACTGTCTTTAGATTTGCTCCCATACAAATAATCCTTTAATTTAATGATATTTGGCCAAGCATAGTTCTAATAAAAGTTAATGTCTTGTAATTATATTTAGGAAGCTTACTCTAGAATGTCTAATATTTATAGTTCACTCGCATTCAATAATCACATACTCATAAGTTGCTAATTTAAATAATATTTACGTACTCTAGAAATACCCTTAACTATAAAAGCGCAAAACAATTTTAGCTTAGTTTTTTCAAATTGCCTTTTTTCAACTTAGAATCTGATATTATTTGTTTTTGTCTGATGCTAATTGTTACAATGTAGTCTTTAAAATAGGAATCGTTTATCTGTATTCCTACAATGAGTGCAAATTTAAGCAAGTTAGTTAAAATTACTGAACCTCAGAGTTTTTCCGTCTAGCCAGAACATTATAGGAACTCAATAAGTATTACTCCACAAATAAAGAAAATGTAAGTAACAATTTCAATAATAATTGTAGTACATAGGGTAATTGAAAGGATTATAAGGAACAGTGCACTCAAAGGGCCTGGCATAGAATATCTGCTTAACAAATGTAGTTATTATTAAGAATTATCATTTATTACAGATTTTGCACATAGGATATACTGACTTAAAGTAGTTGGAATAGGTAAAAGTGCCTCTGGCAATTCCAGTTTGGTTTCATTCATTTGAAATGCATGCAGAGAACTGATGAA